GAATGGACGGTGGTGGGATGAGAGGTGGAAAAGCGATGTCGACGGCCTGGTCTGCAGAGAGGCAGTAAACGGTGATCTGCACTACAGCGCGGTGCAAGCACGAATTCGAAACTTTGATGAGCACCGCCTAGCTCTCCACAACAGCAACAACGGAGACGAAATTTGAGCACTGCCAGAGCAGAAATTGGTGAAAACAAGCGACATAGACGCGTTTAAGCTCACAACGAGACTACCGTGAGATGATCCCGTCGCTTCCAATCATCATGAACATCATTCATCGTATCATTTTTTCGTCAACTTTCGCAGGCACTCGACGACGATCATCGCAATGAGATGATCTGCGAAGGTTCTCTGAACCCATTCAGGACGAAAATCGACCTATCTGATGGAAACCTTTGACTTTGCAACGTCACTGTCGTACTACCACGTACGTACGGTTGCAACGTCGACGATGATCTGAACAGAAACGAATCAGCCACCAACGAATTTCTCCTCATCCTACTACTGGGTATTGGGTGAGGACCACAGCTACTAGTCAGGTAGCTATATCACAATTAATGCACTATGTATTTACTACTTGCAATTGCAGAGCAATTCATGATGGTGCCCGATACAAGTCCTAAGTCAGCCTCTCTGAACGTCATATGTATCCACCGAGCGGCTGACCACTAAACGGACCTACGCCTCTTCGTGCTAACTTCTGGTTTGCCTTTACTTGTTGTTGTTCACTATGTCATCCCATACCCTCCCGAAGTCTTTCGCCGTCAAACGCTCGGATTCCCCAGCATCATCAGATGGGAGAGCGTCGATAAAGAAACCTCGACCTATCCTCCGAGACTTGCGAAACACTCTGGCACTGCAGGCAACTGAGAGCAGCCGTTATATCATCGAACAAGGTTTTCCCTTTGACACTTCCTCTTTCTCCGTCACAGAAGGTCCATCCTCCCCGGAGCGTCGTAGGCACCACCACGGAAATGGCAAGTATCGACTCAGCACCATTGCCCTCCCTGTTACTCCGCATACCGCACCCTCGCTCAACATGCTAGGGTACGCACATGCCGATGCGCTTGACTTTCACGTTTCGAATTGTGATACGCCCGCTGAGGAAGAAAATATCTTCAGTAACAAGCGTAGCTCATTGATGAACGTCTCTGATCATGGAAACCCCAATATCGACAACACGTTCTCCCCTCTGGAATCCAAACATGTTGCCATCCATCACTGTACCAAATCGCTCAATCCGCGGAGCGCTCCGCTGAACCGTCGCGTCGTCGATCAGAAAGCCCTACTCTTCGCTATCCCTCCGTGCTCTCCCACGCTCCCGCTCAGCCCACCTATTGCATCAAGCTCTCCGATATCTGACCTTCTTTCCAAGCGTTCTGGTAGGATGTTCAGGCTCGTCCCAACCCAGAATGACCGCTTCGTGCATGCTGTTGCAACCGACCGGACTGATTACCATATCGAAAGCCCGCTGGAAAGTCCTTGCTCGTCCTCCCCAATACATATCGGCTTTCCTCCCGATATGCTCGCACTGCTTCAGGAACTTGATGAACTTGCCGGTTGGGTTCAAGATTTTCCGTACCCTGAGGGGGCTTCTCAGGCACACGATATCCTTACCACTGACCCAACCGTACCTGTATCATGCCCATATGCACTCCAACGGCTCGGCAATGACCTAAGTGACCATTTCCAACAACAACCCGTGTTGCCGGACAAAGGTAAGAGGCGGAAGCTGACCGAATCCACAGATGATATGTCCGAGGTAAATCAATTTGCTTTGTTGGCGTTTTTTCCAGTATTGATCTCCTTGGAAGTGCCAATTTCCAACCAGTCGTTCGGCTATTCCACCAGCCATCACACCCGTCACACGGAGGCAATCAGTCCGATATATATACGAGCCTCGGGTACATACCATCTCTTCCTTCCATGTGATATATTCTTGATTGACAACTCATGAAGGGCACACCATCATTTCTTGTCGGTAGTTCCACCTCCCCGGTCGCATACCCCGCGGAAGGGTACCGGAGTCTCCCTCGCGAAGTCATCGCACCTGGTCCATCTCCCATCACCATTCAAATTGCAAGCACCCCTCTCATTCGAGCATGCAGTCGCCGCTCTGTACCCAATGTATCTCCGCCGCCCTTGGTCTCTCCGCCTAATGGCATGACTTCGTTCAAGGCAATCTTCAAGAGGTCTCGCTCCAATACGATGTCAGCGCCTCGGTCAAACACTTGCGGGAAGGATAAGAAGAAATTTGGGTGGCTGAAGATATAGCAGGTCATGGTATAGTAGTGCTAGTGAATTTCTTTGATTGTTTCTTTTTCCTTGTTCTGTACGTTGGTTCTTGTCACATTTGTAGTAGTTTTTCGCTTATAATGTCAATTTCAAATTCGCGAACATTACGTCCGTATCGGTACTACGTGACCACACTTTGCTCTGCGGTAATGCCGACAACACAGGCCGGCCGCCGGCCAGTCCTGAATGTTAACATTGTCCAGGACTTCACCATGATCACTGTGTAAGTAAGTCTGTAGACCTGTCCGAGTAAACCCTAGTCACTGTATGACTTTGGCACTGGTCAGCCTCCTCAGCCGGAGGGCTAAATGCCGGAGTCAGCCGCGGCCGTTCGCTTTAGATGGGGACCATGGTATCTTCTAGTGCTGTTTGGTGTGTTTGCCTTGTTCTTTTTCTGCTTTGCTTTTCGGTATCATATGTCTTCTGGATCGCCCTCACGCATCCCTCGTCCTCCGGCTCGCCCGTCTCCCTTGCCGTCCCTGCCGTCGCTCGAGATCGCAACCGTCCTCGCCCAAGCAGGTCCGTTCGACGATCTCAAGTCACTCGTTCCATCGCTCTCGTTCACAGGGAGCTCAGCAGACGATGATGATGGAAGTGACTGGGAGGACGTGCCGCCGTTCCCAAAGGACCACCAGCCACCTATATTTATCATCCAAGGTCATCGCGCTCAAGTGCCATTTGCTGTTCGTCCAGGTGTCATCGCTCTCGGAGACATACATCCAGACGAACTCACCACTCGTATCGTTCTCTCTGCGCCAACAATCCCGCGCATGAACTTGGTCATGAAGGAACAGCTCTTCATGCACACTTGGATTGTGAGTTGGGGATATTCTATGACCTGTCACTTTAGCTGACAAAAGCGAATGTAGGATAGGCTAACTCCTCAGCGTCCTCCCAGGCACGTCCCCTGGACTAGTGATAATTCTGTTCCTAGGCGCGACTGGATTTCTGAAGGTTCCATCTTGCCGGCTGAAACCATCAAGTCGCAAAATGGGAAGATACGACAAGCACGGATGGATCAAAGGATCCCGAATGGGCCTTCCAAAGAAACATTCCTTCATTCTACGCCCTGCACTCCAGGCGTCCGAAGCCACAGGGAAACTGCTGTTATTTCAAAGGAAAGTCCTGGGCGTCAGGTCGGGTGTAATCAATGGTCCGTTCACGTTCCAATGACTGCCATCAAGCAAAATACAGTTTCATCTGGACCAGGACCCATTACACCCATCCACGGACGAATAGGGACACGGACACATTCCTCGGCCACTCCCGTTCTTGAATCTTGTTCTGATAAGACAATAAAGCAACTGGCATCAACATGCCGCAAGTCATCTCGCGCGTTGCCACAACTCGGTTCTATTGATTCCCTCGCTATTCGAAGAGGCAAGAAGGTTTCCGGTTTGCAGCTTAAGGAAGTGGACGATTTTGAGTATCCTGATATTCCTACGGCCTTCCGTGGGTCTCCAACCGTCTGGTCGCCTAAATTCGATCCTGGCGTTCCCAGTCCCAATGGAAAGCTTTTCACCGACCACAGTAGTATGCTATCAAGCCTCAGGTCACAATCCGCCGCACTTACGAGTGGGATTTCCACGCCTGTGACACACAAAAACAAGGAATGTCAATATGCGTTTGTTGACTCGGACATGGACTCTGTATCGTTAATGCCGTCATCCTCCCGTGACGATGAGTGGGCCTTTGAGAATGACCTCGATCTTGATCTTCAAGGCGCCGTTGACAATGTGTCTCATACTCCGACACCTTCATTTACGCCCAAGATCATACCAGATAGGCCAAGGGAGTCTCTGAACGTCACCCCAGATCGTTGTCCCGCCCGCGCCAGTCTGACTCGTTCTTCTTCACCTCCTTGCCTGCAGTCAGTAGTCCCTGCGGTCAAAGTTTCTCCAGCGCCCCTGACCTGTCCACCATGTATCCCTCTCCCCCCTCCTCCTGTTTTAATTACTCCTTCCACCCCTCTGCGGGTGAGAGGAATTTTAAAGAAGGTCAAGAGCGTTCGATTCGAGGATGTCAGATGCAGTCAAGATGTGGGCCTACTCGTCATGCCAGCACCAGATTCAACAGCAGCAAAGCGCCCTTCTCCTCTACGGAACAGCTTCATGGGCCCTATCGATAGCACCACGTCGGCAGACGCAAAGAAGCCTGTGAATACTGAACCCTTGACAGGTTCTACCGCGCCGCAGCCTAAGGCAATTCAGGAGCCTGTCATCAAGAAGAAGTCGCACATGATGAAGTCCAAGCTCGTTCCAAAAGGTACCATACTCAGCTCTCACCGCATGTCTGAGGTCCCCATTCTCAATTCCGTCGACACCAACGTCCGCCAGCAGGTCCCGCCTGTACCCGAGCTCAATGGGCCGGAAACCTCTACTCCTGGCCGTCATAATCGTGTCGCCAGTGCCGAACAGGAAATCGGGCACACTGCCTATGCTCGTACTCGCAAACGATGGTCGACAATGAACGAAAACGATCTCAGGATGGGAGTCGAGGGTGCTGCACCCAGGAGCCGTCTTACTACTCCTCTGCGGAACATTTTCAAGTTCAAATAAATTACATATTCCTGTCGTTAATCTTACGTTCCTTGTGTTCCACGTTCAATACGCTCTTTTATACCTCATCGATGCATCATTAATCCTCTTTTTGTTCGCCAAATTCTCTTGCCTCGTCTTAATGTTACATGAACTCGCGATCTACAAGGCCTGGTGGTCTAGTAGTATGATTCCTTGTTAGGGTAACTACGTTTCGAGGAGGTCCCGGGTTCAATTCCCGGCCAGGCCCAAAATTTTGCCTTTTTGTGCACCCGCATAGTCCCTGGCCTTGGTACTGGTGATTCCCATTACCATGATAGTCGAGATTAACCGACTCAGCGGTACTCCTTGGTACTCCCCGTTTTATCATACGATGATGAGTTAACATTTAGAAATAATGGCCCCGGCGCAGCGGTCATTTGATCGAAACTCTTATTACCATCTTCAGGCAGCTCTGCAATCTTCATATACCGCACGGTTACATTGTTTTTGCGACATCAAAAGCAATCAATCAATCAAGGTTTGTGCCAACACCGTGGCTGCGCTTCCGGGTACATGATTACGCGTGGAGAGTCATAGTATGAAGGAACGACTATCTTCATTCGTCTATGATCTAGAGTAAGTGAGAGTAGTGAAAATAGCTACAAAACTGCCGCGAAGGGCTGCAAGTTGGTAATGTAAGTGCCCCACCTTCCTCCGTGCCAGCTGGCGAAATCCTTCCATGCAGCGCTACCTTCACCATTGGTGATTTTGATCCAGGTGAGCCACGCTCCGAGGATACCATCCGCATACGAGACGGTATTTCCCATGACGAACTTCCCTCCCCCATTCTTTGACAGCCAGCCGTCTACAGCAACAAGACCCTCCTTAGCCTTAGCCCAGTCAGCATCACGCTGGGTACCAGCGGGAGAGAACTCCTCAATCTTCTTCCCGTAGGTCGCCTCTCTGGTTGCTCTGAAGTACTTCTCACTGGAAGGGTTCAGGATGTAGCAGCTGATGGCGAGCTGATAAGGGAAAATGCTTCCGATGCCTCCTATAACACCAGCCTCTAATGCTGCCATCAATGGCTTCGTGCCGGGGGGGAACAAGGTAGTTCCACTCGGGTAAGTCGCATCAAGGTATTCGGCGATAAGGAAGGAGTCAGAGACGACCTTCCCAGTATTGGGGTCATTAATGATGGGGAGGGTGTATGATGGGCTGCCATCAGCCTTGGCGCCTGTCGGTGGCGCCCCAATTTTCTTGGCAAGAGCTTCAATGTCAGGGTACTCGACCCACTCGGTCTTGTACGCAACACCCTTGATGTTTAGGGCATATCTAGCAAGTGTAAGGTAAGTGACTGCCTAGATCATTGCATACGCGGAGTACACACCGGGTCTTCCAGGTGTTTGGGGACCACGCATTCGCCGTCAGAGTCGAGGGGATGTCGTAGAATATAATCGGAGATGTCATATTGATCGAGTGAGTCTGGGTTTACCATCTGAAAGGTCATTAATACCTGCTCGGGACTCCGCTACGGAGAAGACTTCTCACAATATTGTTGACCTCACCACGAGGACATTTCTTTCTGGCCCCCGAAAGGTGTGACGATGCATGTCAGGCAAGGGAAAGAAATCAGCATCATACCTTGTTTTACTCGATGTATGTTAGCTTTCTCAGGGCCTAGAGTGTTCATGGCGTCATCAAAAGGTTACGATCAAGAAGCAGAATGAAACGTGACATGATACGGCCGTACACCCACATCTAAGCATGAGAAGTAGCCCATAAAGCCTAAGTTTGGTCGTCACCCTCAAAGACCACGGCCGCGACCCAAATGTCCCCCTCTGATGGCGCCTCTTCCAGCAAACCCGATTCGAAACGCCCTGGTCATTATAGGTGGGCCCCACTGACCTGGCTCCCCAGGATAGTCCTGCGGAGACTCCCCCGTTTCGCGGGGGCGGGGAAACCGTCCTGGCATGGGAGGGCCTTCGTCTTCGTCGTTATCTTTCTGAACATTGGTGCGTGACTATTTTGATCCAGAAATTAATCAGCAGTCAGAACTTAGTCAGCCAAAATCTCACCTCTAAATCAATGACGAGAGCTCCCATGTGCCACCCAGCAGCTGCTATAGCAAAGCAAAACATCTTCTCCTTCTGTGCTTCCTCGTGACCAAAGCTGACCTCCGCGGGCTCGGATATGCCCGGCGGATACGGACCGCCGTTGGCAACAGCAGCTCTTTTGTGTGCTTCAGTTCTGTAACCCCCTGGCTGGCCAGAAGAAAGCTTGCCGGGATCACCGAGGCCGAGTGCGCCTCGAGAATATTCACCCCACGTCAAAAGCTTCCCGGTGGATGTAAGAGCGCCAAAATGGTAATCTCCAAGAACAACGGAGATAACGTCGTTGTTTTGAAGCGCGGGGAGAATTACAGGATTCGAATCGGCATGTGTTTCGTGAGAACCCAAGAGAATGACAGAACTAGAACCGAGAGAATAAGCAACGAATGTTTTGAATTGCGCCGAGATCTGGGAGACGGTTCAGCTACGTGGGAACATTCGAAACTCTGATGAAGTAATTACATGAGATATCCGCAAGCTCTCCGGCGGCTTCAACTGAGAAGAAACATAAGCGGGGTGCTGCTGAACCTTGTCAATTTCAGAGAAGTTAGGAAGCTGGAAATGCGTAAGGCAAAGACTGTTCCACGAATAAAATTAACCTACATATTCCCATCTCTCAGACCGAACAGCAACATCACTTTCAACAGAAATCGAGAGAACATGGCCATGATTAGTCAAACCGATGAGCCGACTCTCCAAAGCTGCGAGCTTGACAAGTTTCACGGGTTCCGCTGACCCTAGTAGCAGCTCCGGCAGTCGAGGCAGCGGTGGTAACCTTGTGGGTTCTTCGCGAAGCTCCCATGTCGAGCATGGGATGACACCACCCTCTGTAGCGTAAGCTTTTAGGTCCGCGGCATCCATAGCCGCACTTCGTGCAGCGATGACGTCCTTTAGGGGTGCAGTGAATGGCCACCAGACATACACATCACCAGATTTGGTAAGGACTGACGAAAAGTTCCAGCCGGATTCAACCAGCGCAGGAGTAGAATCCAACGAAGTCGCGTCAAGCGCAGGCGTGTCGAGCCTGAAGGGACGGCCCCAGCTTAAAAAGGTCCAAACGTGATGCTGATCGTCCAGCGTAGTAGCATGCAACCGCCCACAACTAACAAACGTGAACAAGTATTTTACTCGACGCACGAGAACACTCAAACCTAATGTTCCGCGTAGGAGAGGGCATGTCAAGCTTCAATGGTGTATGAGCTGGTTTTGCCGGTTCGGAGTACCCATCGTGTTGTAGAGCATACGAGGTGCCATTCAAAGTTCCTTCGTGCGACGTTAGTTTCTGTCCTTCATGTCACACAACAATCTGTGGACTCACCCCATACGTATACGCTACCAGTAGAGTCCAGTGCAAAAAATGCCCTTTTGGGAGTCAGATGAGCAGTTTTGTGTCGTATAAGACAACGACAACATACCATCCAGCAGCTGAGAGACTGACTATACGTGCGCCTGATTCGATCTGCAACTCAACTGGGTATGGGGCATCATGAAGAGTTGAGTTTGGTATCTTCTTCGGCTTCAATCCTAATCTTCCCTTCGAAGGATCGCTACATGAAGTAATTTGACTAAGCGGAAGAGTAACGGAATCACGGAAGATGGTGCTTACCCCCATACATAAGTCTTGGGGTTGCGCAAACCTCTATAGAGGCGTTTCCATCCGCTGATTCGTGCGGTCCTCTCGTCTGTAAAATTGAAATCCTCTTCCAACTTCCTCTTCCAGAATGTCTCATCGTCGCACAATCGCGCAAAGAAGTGATCCGTTTGTCCCAGATGGATGAGATCTGGAATAGCAAGCCAAGGTAATAAATTATCCAACAGAACTTCAATGGGTAAGTCAGATAGCATAGTGAATGGTTGCAGTACAGAATCCCAGCGGGCAAGTCAGAGAGCACAATTGAGGGAGCTGCGACTCGAGAGCTGCGCCGCTGCTGCGATTAACGATTCATGATGTCACATGTTGCGGTCGCTTCCTGGGGAGGGGTAGGGGGGTTGTTAGGTTATTACATATGCTACGAGGGGTTGCCTGGTAACCATATTAGGGAGTGCTGGTTCAGTGGTTTTGTGTTCGCCTCAAGTTCGCTCATGCCATGAAGCTTTGAAGAGTCTCGAGAGACACAACGGAGAGTCACGCTGCAAAAGTCGTTGGGCTATTTAGTACATGGGACTCGCACTCACCCCGGATCGCAGTACGTGGCTATTCATACTCATATGTCCGCTTCTCATCAACAACTCATCCGTACATGCCCCATTTTGTTTGAATCCTGCACGTAGCAAATACCGGTCGTTAACTTACCAGCACCGTACCGCTCCTTCAAGTCTTTGTAGTGGTTGGAGGAGAACTAGACCCAAACTTCGTAATTTGAAGTCATTCAAGTCAGCATCAGGAAAACCGCCCCTCCATAATTCAGATGTAATTAGCAATAGCATCTCCCGCGGACCCGCGCTCGTGAGTCTGATATGATTCCTTCTCTTAATTGGGGCGTCTCTAACACTGCTGTTACTCTTTTTTTGTGGATTGCCAATGCCAGGCTAGCCAAACAAACTTCACCGAGCGTCAGGAACGATCATCAAACGCTATTTTGTGTCCAGACCGCCCAGGGCATGGTGTAACACATTAAAATGAGGTCTCCAATGAAGGGCGCCTATCGCGATTACCGCAGCACTTCTGTCGTGACGGCAGGCCATTAAACTGATAGTGGCGTGCTCCCTTATGCTCTCTTTCTTTTTTGTAGTCGCGCGGTCAGCATAATCCGCTGCGGCTCCGCTTCGGTGAGCCAGGGCCGCTGCTGTTATCAGTCGGCTCCAAGAGGCTTGTTTCAGCTGTGGAGGTACAGCATAACCGTGTGGAAGGATTTTATATTGGTCGTCCAATATAACGCTAAATACAACCTGGTTTCACAGCGCAAAAATAATTCTTGCTCGGTAAGTTATTAAATTTGATAATAAAGCCATCTGGATAAGCTGACACATCCTTGTTGACCCAACTGATGAGCGCGACAAACGTGTCTCGCCATCGCGAACCGACGGTGTGCACTCATGATGCCTGCGTGTGTACATCACAGCTACTGCCGTACAGCTTTGACAGTAAATAGCCCGTGAAAAATGGGATTCCGTCAGTGGAGTCGCTCACGGTTTGGACGGACTTCCGACCGACCGAGGT